GTGATAGAGACTGGGAGATATAACAACACAGATATATCTGACAGAAAATGTCTATGTTGTGAAAAGAACACCATAGAGGAATAAGAAAATTTTCTGTTAACATGTGATCTTTACGCTGGAGAAAGAAAAAGACTTTATCAGCTGTTATCAGCTGTTAATAAAGAAAAACTAAAATATGTTTTAAATAATAAAGATGAGAAAATAATAATAGAAGTAGCAAAATACAAAGAAAACTGTTTCAAAACAAGAGAGGTAAAACTGAAAACAATATAGTCAGCTAACTCAAGATAAGGTCATGTACATGCATTAGTAAACCAAACATTCACCAACACAAATATGGAAAAGATTCCAAATTACTTTACCATTATTTTTTTTTCTACTTTTATTTGCTTGTCATTTTTGTTTTTTTTTATTTTCCTGTGTGTATTTTTATTCTCACTTCAATTGTTTGTTTGTCTTTATTCACATCTGTATTGCATTTTAGTCAAAATCCTAATAGGGATACAAACGCAATAAAGATAATTATTATTATTATTATTATTATTATTATTATTATTATTATTATTACTTGAAGCTTAGTATATATATAACTGGTGTATTGATTTCTATTAAATATTTAATTAATAATACTTCAATGATAGATTTATGTACAACATTGTTGATGTTATGAATATACATAGATTTAAAAAATATCTGAATTTGTCTTGTTTTGTGTTCAACCGTTCGTTGTTACAGTGCACATACTCATGTGAAACAGGAAGCTAACGGTATTTCTACGTTCCTGCCCTGAGATAAATTTATTCTGGAACTAGACTTGCGTTAATATTATTGGTAACAAGTACTATGAATTGAACCAGATGGAGTATCACTCTACTAATTTGTTCAAGACCTTTTGCTATGTAGAACAGCTTCGATTCATATGCAAATTTACGCCATTGTTTTAGTCTGCAACTTACCCTGGTTATGTAAATGTTGGTGGAATGTTTACCCACAACAAGGTTTTGAAAATAAATTGAAATTATGTAACTAATGCATCACATACAGTAAATTTCGATCAATGATGGATTAAAAATGCAATATATGTTAGATAATCAGATCACTAGATTAAATGGCGGTGGTCGGGGTACAGTCACTTCTCCCGAAATTCACTTCGCCCGAACTCCTTCGCCTGATTATCGGTTCGCCCAATTACCGGTTCGCCCATTTTCCTTTTCGTCCGATTTACCGATGTTACACAGTAGGCCTACTGGGGGTTTCGATTCGAAATGTACATCTGGTAAAATGCATAAAATCTACCATATGATCGCATTTTAGTCAGGGTTTTATTGCCGATGCAAACACTGCAACTGATGTCCGCCATTGCGGGAAGTCATCCCCATTCACAATAGAGGGGCGGCCGACAGACAATGGGACAGGTATGCATCGGCCGTCATACACAGATTTTTCACTTGTTTCACCATCGAGGTGAGTTGACACTATAGGCTACATACATTATCTAAATATATATAATTTCCATAATGCACTGTATCCTTGCTATTATAAACATATCAGGTACCACGAACACCATGCAGGTACACCCCAAAATCCAACAACTAGCATGGGGAGATTTATTTTATAAATACCTTATGTTTAATTAAAAAATAAGTACTCAGTCTTTGTTTACCCACTAAATACATTTTTTAATCTGTGGTGTACTCACTGCATTCACACCCTATACTAGTACTAGAAAAGGGATTAGTGGGGCCGCAACGGCATAAAATTACGTTACAACCCCGTTGTAAACTTCACGTTCGTCACCTTTTAAAAATAAATTTCAACTTCTATGTTATCTTGTTTTGACTACACGTAAATACCAAACATACGAGGAATCAGGCGAACTGGTAATCGGGCGAAATGGCAATCGGGCGAAATGGTAATCGGGCAAACAGGTAATCGGGCGAAACCGTTTGGGCGAAGTGGTAATTGGGCGAAATGCCCCCAATTCGCTGTTGTGTTAATATTGGTAACAAGTACTATGACTTGAACCAGATGGAGTATCACTCTACTAATTTGTTCAAGACCTTTTGCTATATAGAACAGCTTCGATTCATATGCAAATTTACGCCATTGTTTTAGTCTGCAACTTACCCTGGTTATGTAAATGTTGGTGGAATGTTTACCCACAACAAGGTTTTGAAAATAAATTAACTAATGCATCACGTACAGTAAATTTCGTTCAATGATGAATTAAAAATGCAATAGATAATCAGATCACTAGATTAAATGGCGGTGGTCGTCGCACCGCGTCCAGTTCGACATGGGACTCATAGCGATCTCGACATATACAACGCTTGTAAAATACATTGTTTGTTTACATGAAACTTTAACATACTAGTATGCTGCGTGACGACTGTGGGACTTCAATATACCAGGAATAACACGCATCTGTAGTCTAGAAGTGGTACGCCTGCTGGTAGATTTTGAGGGAGGGCTTCAAAAGATTCACAGTCAATTCGTCCCAATTCACATTCGTCCCAACACATTCGTCCCACAAGTCGATTCGTCCCACAAGTCGATTCGTCCCAATTCACATTCGTCCCACAAGTCGATTCGTCCCAATTCACATTCGTTCCATTTCACATTCGTCCATTTTTTTTTAATTTTTGGTCAGCGTTACGATTTTGAGCAGGGTCAATTTCTATGCCAACTGTTACTGACACGCTAACTAATAACTCCACGTTGCGTGTACGGTGTATTTGTATTTATTAACTAATAACTCTATGTTGCATGTGCGGTGTATTTGTATTTATTAACTAATAACTTGTACGTTGCGTGTACGGTGTATTTGTATTTATTAACTAATAACTCTACGTTGCGTGTGCGGTGTATTTGTATTTATTAACTAATAACTTGTACGTTGCATGTACGATATATTTGTATTTATTAACTAATAACTTGTACGTTGCATGTACGATGTATTTGTATTTATTAACTAATAACTCTACGTTGCATGTAAGGTGTGTTTGTATTTATTTATTAACTAATAACTTGTACGTTGCATGTACGGTGTATTTGTATTTATTAACTAATAACTCTACGTTGCGTGTACGGTGTATTTGTTTATAACGTCGGCAAAAACAAAATGGCATAATGAACAATTACGCATGCCAGTGCATGACGTGTACGTGAACAGTTTGTTGTTTGGATTTTTTTATGTTTATTTGGCGAGTTAGTAGTGGGCTAACCTTAAATCTGACGAATCGATCGACTTGTGGGACGAATCGACTTTGGGACGAATCAACTTGTGGGACGAATCGACTTTGGGACGAATTAACTTGTGGGACGATTCGACTTGAGACGAATCGACTTGTGGGACGAATTGACTTGGGACGAATGTGATTTGGGACGAATCGACCGTCCCCCCTTCAAAAATTTCGACAGCTTAGTACTCAACCACGGTTCTTTTTTTAGTGTGTCCAAACACTCGGACCCGACTAGAGGATTATTATTATTATTATTATTAGCATGGAATCCAGTCATTCTGAGTACACTCAGGGATTATTATTTGTAGATTTGTCATATTATACGATCATAGACAGAATCTAGTCTAGTACTGCAAGCAGCGGAAAGAGGCCTACCTACAAGACCGTACTCAGCTACGATACTACAGCAACGGAAACACAATATACATACATTGCAACGCGTCCATGTTGTTAACCGTTTCTATTTCAACATATTTCAAATCGCTTCACACACACAAAGAAGTAAACTAGATTGTATTTGACAACTTACGCAACTTATCGACTTTGGCGAGAAACTCTTCCAGATCATCGTCCCCTGTGTTCCCAGCCATTTTGAAAATAAAATAAACTTTGACCCAAGAACAAACTAGAACAAAATATGTGAACACTAGAGGGCGACAAACCATGATGAGCTGACCCAACATGTTATGGTCTACATACATGTAGCGACAAGGCAGTACTGTACAATATCCTGCCATTTTTCACGCTAATTAGGTGGATAATTTTCAAATTAATAAAATGTCCAGGAAATTATGATAATTCTGATTTAACATTTTACACATAGGTGATATTCCGAGGTTATTTCCATTGATAAGCTGTGTCGGTCCGGTGGTAAAGACTCGCGGGCCGGATTTTGGATGAGAGCACAGTCACTCTACTAGAAGTGACCCACATCCAATTTAAGAATGTGTAAGGGTTCTTTGAGGGTGCTTTCGCTAAAAAATTTACGTTTTTCACCAACAAATGTTATACATTTGCTACGGGGCGACGCCCTAAGTCGTGGAGTCCACGTGTGGTCATGACAACGCGTGCAAAGTAATAAGACTATTGGTTGAACAATTAACACTGTCGATTATAAAAATGAGGGGTTCGAGCGTAATAGGGAGAAGAGGACCGAGCATATGATGACAATTGTAATTATAATAAATACCTGACTATGTTATCATACTACTGGTGTTTTGGTGACTGAATGGTGCATATAAGTGTCGAGCGAACCCACTGGACTACCATGGTACTGCTCACTGCCTTGCGAGTTACCGAGTTACCCATTTCCGGATGTGTACATTAACCTCGCGAGCCACTCACTTACATAACAACCCTGAAAGACCGGCGCAACCTGCATTGTCAAAATCGTGACAGCGGTGCATCATGAGAGCACCCCTTCCCTGGGTGTCGATATATACCGACAAGTGGGCAAATGTGTCTGGAAACTAGTCTAAATTAACTTTAAAACTTGGTTCATGCTGTAATAATTTCATTATATATATGGCAAAATGGACTCATCACCTATTTCGAGACAAAAAAAAAACATAGTCTGAGAAGGGGTATACATTTGTAGCCAATTGTCTGTAAAGGCAGGCACCTTTTTCGTATAGTGGTAGCCTAGAAAGGGGTAGGAGTCTGGGGGTGAGAGGCACAATCCTAACACCCCGGAATAATATTGTTCTTGCAAACAGCTCATTTTGTACATTGTGCAGTGATATTATCGTGGCCTGTACCACACTCCATATCCGGTGTGCATTTAATAACAACGAGTTAAATTAGCATATGCCATGTTCACCAGTAATCCCATCATTTAGCTGGTCGATTTGATTAACCAATAAGAAATCTAGTAGATAACGTATGCACTAATATTTTCCGTGACATTTTAAGCACAAATTGCATAAACCAATCCCCACAGACAAAAGTTGCATAATTAGTCGATCAAAAGGTAGAGCTACATCTACTGG